ACAGAAGCTGTCCATCTGGAATCAAACCCAAGATCCAAGCACTCTGAAGCAGCACTAGGAACTTCAAACACCACCAAACATCACCTATCTTCTCATAAATCATATTTAATTCCCTTATGAATCATAAGAACAGTACGAAAGGCTGCAAGCCAGTAAGCCATTCAGCCCCACTGGCCCTGTTGGTAGTTATTATGAGTTTCTTGAAGTATAATAATAATTGCTTACACTTATATAGCGCTTTTCTGGACACTCCACTCAAAGCGCTTTACAGGTAATGGGGTCTCCCCTCCACCACCGCCAGTGTGCAGCCCCACCTGGATGATGCGACGGCAGCCATAGTGCACCATAACGCTCACCACACATCAGCTATCGGTGGGGAGGAGAGCAGAGTAATGTAGGCAATTCATAGATGGGGATTATTAGGAGGCCATGATTGGTAAGGGCCAATGGGAAATTTGGCCAGGACGCCGGGGTTGAAGTATGCTTCAACCACATGGCTGGGCAGCTTGTTCCACGCTCTTACAACCCTTTGGATAAACAAGCGTCTCCTGTTCCCGATTTTAAATGCACTTCCAGATAGTTTCCTTGTGTCGTCTAGAGACATTTCCAAATTTTTCACAGTTTCTGAGTTCCTGATCCTGGGGCAGAGTTCACTCTTTTGGGATGGAGCTTTGAATAAACAGAGAGCGGTATTGCCAGGTTTTCCGTAGTTTACTTCGCCTGTTTTGAGTCGAGCCCGTTCACGAAGACGATGTGTCACTACGTTGTGCGTTGATTGACGAGGTGAAATTCAATTTCATCAAAATGAGAGTGGAGAATGAAAAAAAGATGCAAAAGGAACAAGTAAATGTTTATTCCATGCTGAAAAGACAAGTAAAGAGACACAACGTGGAACCTTTCTCGAATGTCTACCGACATGCGCTTAGCCCCTGGAACAACATACAGCATTTTCACCGTGAGCCGGTAACCGGCGGGACGTGACGTCACGCGAGGGTGCCCCCTCGAATCCTCGCGCCCTTGAAGTCCCCACTTGCGCTGCGTCACAGACGTGCGGACTTGGAGGAAGGGCTGAGGGCGTAGTGCGACAAGGGGGAGTTGGCTACACAGTATGAATCTCAAGTAGCCTAATGAAATTTAGTTTTTATATCAAATAGGAGTTTTCAAACTGTAACGAAGGAAGTTAAACTTTTCTAGCTCGTGAATATTTCATTCTCCGTGGCACCTTCTCTCCGCTTTGATGGGCTACATGAAACGTCACCATTCCGCAAAAAAATGGGGGTGATTCCCTGCTTCAGCAGAGCCCGGTGCGGACTTCAGTGCAGAGCGTGCTGGGGGCGCTTTTTTAAAAACGTATTTGAACAACAAAAATAGATACAATACAAACAATAGTACATGTAACACATCACTCACCGGGGGCACTCGACAGCACCCTTGTGAAACAGATTTAGAAATGGGGCACCCTGAGCCCTTGCAGAAGCGTGCACACTGGGACACGGCCCAGCGGCGCTGTACTCGTCAGTCCAGCGCTTTGAGTGTGGCTCGACCCGGACTCCATCCGGAAGGAGTGCAGTCCAGCTTGAACTTTTTTGCCTTTGGTGGAGACGTATTTAGCAAACTTGTATTTTTTCAATTGAAAACAGCAGGATTGTTATCCGCTTAAAAGCTTAATAACGTTACAATTGATTGGTTCCGCCCTGTACTTCCACGCCTACTCCATCCCGGGACACCATGGCCACATGACGAGAAGAAGTCAGTTCAAAACCCTATGCTCTCAATGGATTGAAATAAAACACGGTTTAAAATTAATTCGGATAAACACTGTTTGGTTATATACGACAGAGGAAATACACAAATAGGGAATTTGCATCTTTACTGCAATTCATTTTTAGCAGTAGCATTACTACTATGTCTAATCGATTTAATATTAACACAATTTCATGGGTCATATACATGGTTGTTAATATTCCAAGCAGAACACAAAAGGGCTTTTATAATTTTTTTTTGTGTAAAACAATGTTTTGGTTCTGTTTTATTTCCGTGGCTTTGTCAACACACCTAGCATACGTGTTTTAATAAGGGGCTATGGAGGTCGACACTCCAGTCTGCACTGGGCAGACGGGAGCAAGATAGAAAAAAAAACAGTGCGTATTTCAGCTGTGGGAGGAAACGCATGCACACACGAGGAGAACATACAAACAGCACCCCAGGTCCAGAACTGAACCCAGGGCACTGCAAGAAAGTACTGCGCATCACTGCGCAACCCTACTGTCCACCCATTTACTAAACCGCAATTCAGGGTTGCAGGACGCCTGTTAAGTTACTGGCTGGATCAAAATTGGGCAAAGGGCTCCTAAGCAAGCTGAAACACTGCCCTTGTTTAATGAACACAAAACGCTACTTGGTAAGAAAAATGGAGGGATAGTTGGGTTTAAACATGCGATAAAGTAAATGTCATTCCCTAACCTGCTATCCTTCAGAAAACACCTTAATGTTTTATAAGCACACTAAAGAGATAATTGATTTATGACGATTTCCTTTTAGGAGTCACATACCCTTGGATTCTGCCATAAATTGCTAGTATCACATGTAAATACCCAACTGTATTTAATGGGCACTAAAAATAAATTCCAAGTATACCTACTAAAAAAATTCAAAACTTTTCTGTTCATTGCTCAATGGCTACTTTGCAATCAAAACAAGTTTAAGAAGATTTTATGAAAATTGACAGGTATCTTGCAATTGTATTTTCTGCTCTTTTTTAAATAAATCAATGATTTCAATGAGCACAGCTTCTAACACTTTTTAAAAAGTATTTGTAAAACAGTGCTTTGACATCATTATTTAAAACATTACTCTTGCTAGAACATAAATGTGACATTTAATAGACACATAAAAATGTTCAGAAAAAACCTGTTCGGCCAGTTACCATCCCAGTTGCCTCAAGGCAAGTGCAATAGTTGTTTTTGTTAGTGGCAAAACTGTTTTTACTGAAAGGTGGTCAGATTCAAAAGGACACTTTTCACTTCTCAAAAACAAGTGGCTCCCATGGACTCATCACGATACTGTAAACAATAGGCCACTAGAACATGCTGCCAACTGAGTGACCAAAAATTTACTGTTTGGACTATGGATACTACATCTAGACAATTTAACCAATAACAAATCACAGAAATCACAGATTTCCAGGAAATCCCAAAGGGAAGAGTTCCATTCTAAATCTAGTGGAACATAGTTTTCAGATTTGCTTAATAGCGTATTATTGGTTACATTTATTAGATGTTCAACCTTACATTTACATTACATTTACACCAAAAATGATACATTAATTTGCTTTAAGATTAAACTGGGGGTCCTTATTGAAAGGGATTTCTTGAAAACGGATTCTCCAACCACAGAATGTTGCTGAGGTATGCTCTACCGTCAAAAAATCTATGGGAAAGTTCACTTTTGAGCTTCTCTTATGCCCCAGTAAATAAAAAGCAGGCACTCCCAACTGTGTCAAACCTCAGGTTGAATCTGGCATTGAGCTCAAGTCATGAGACATATCCTGAGCAGTAGTGCACAAGTGGCATAGTGACAAAACTGGCTGGGTTGAGATTGTTAACTAGGGCTCAGAATATTGACCAACATATTAACTCCTGTGACCTTCAGTGGCAGCCAATTAGCACCATCTCTCCAGTTAAGTGCTGTAGTTAGACATCCACCTGTTTCTCTCCTGGGAATTCTAGCTGTTTCACATTAAAGGCCTTGCTGCCAAATATATAAACCTTTTCTTATTTTTGCTGTTAGCTCAGGGCCTTTCTAAAATAAGGCACTATACCTAAAACTGATGATAAGTTATATTCTAAACCTTTTAACTTTGCTATAAGATAAACCTGTTCCCAAGATAGAAAAATGTCTTTCAAAGTTTTTAATCTACTATTTATGCACTGGAAGATAAGTATTCAACCAATATACTTACAATTCATCAAGTAATAGGTTTATTCCATGCTAAAAAAAGAAAAACACCTGAAGAAGGTTCCACGGCCGAAACGTTGTTTTCTCTTTTCTTTTTTTCAGCATGGAATAAACCTATTACTTGGTCCTTTGCAGCCTACGCATGCTGATGCAGCTACCCATCTGAACTACTTACAATTCATTGTGCTTTAAAAAGGTAGAAGACTTTTAAAATTCTTCTTGCAGACTCAGGAGGAAGATTTTAAAAACACATTTCACTAGTTTTACTCAGAACTGGAAGAGACCTTTTATGAGTTTAATATTTTTTTCCTGATGTCTAAACTAGTGCCTTCAATTAAAAAAATGACTTTCAATGTCCTTCCACCCCCTCATTATTTTACATTACTGAACAGATACTGATTTAACAAGCAGTTTAGTATTTGTACAACAGTGAGTTAATCTAAAAAAATCTTGCTAAAGCCATGTAACATAAATGCTTTAAATAAGTTTCAAGTTGTTACAGTTCAAATGTATTTTAATAAATATTTAATATAACGACAAGACAGATACTTCTACCCCAATATAGTTGGCTGCGCATTTAAACACAAATGATTGGGTTGCTGAGAAAAGTATGTTAAATTAGAGGTGTGTGCGCTTTAGAGAAACTAATCTTCATGAAACAACCCAAATAACTGACAATAAACCAAGGTCAGAAAAATATGTTGGGGAAGCATAGTAAATTAACCTTTCAACTTTCAAATACTCCTTTGATGTATCCCCTGAATATTTTTTACCTAATGTCTTACAAAACTTGCACTGCGTTTTTATCTCAAGTAATACAAGTTCAGTAAAATATGTGAACTTATACTGCTCAGACCATTTGGATAAATGAGAAAACTATGAAACATGGCTTTATTACAACTGTTGATTACAAATTGTAGGGCTTATTCAAGACACTAACATTTAATTCCTGTTGTGATATAGTAGTGAACAAGAGAAACAAAATACAATTTTTATGCCATTTCACAAAAACGCACACAAATTCCAAATAACCAAGCCAAAGAGACTTTTCTGTATTTCTTTTATTAATGCAAACTTGCAAAGAACGTCACGATTTTTGGGAGGCTGCCTGAAGCTTCCTTCCAATCTCTACAAAAACAAAACAACTCCATCGGTTTAAAAAGACGTTAAGTTCACATTTTAAATTTAACAAGAGGGTTGTTTTTTTTTTTACTTTTTTGCCATTCCTGCTGTTCTTTACTTTCATTATATGTGGATGTGCTTGGATTTTAAACTACACATTTGTATCTACTTAGCTGAAATTATATATTTATTAAAAAAAACATCTGATAGGGAAAAAGGTTATCCCTTCAACATCTACTTTTTAAAAATATAAGTTAGCTGCCTTATGATAAGGTTTGGTATTTAAACTTGTATTTTAAAAACCAAAATGTAGAGAAAAAAATCAACATTCAGCAGTTTTTAAACTTTATTACAAAGGGCACAACCTTGCTTTAACATTGTACGGACGGAGTTTTTCTAACAATGGCATAAAAAAAGTTTTAAACTAACAATAACCCCTTTTGCACACAGTTTCAAATACATCAAATGTAAGCTAACAATGGATTTCTAACAACTGCATTTTTATATAAAACTTGATAAAAAATAGTTATTTCAAACTGTACAGTCACCAAGTACATAGAATTATCAAAAGATTAAAACGCAGTTTACTTGGCGTCGCCAGCCGACTCGGTCTTCTGTGCCTATAAAAATAACAAAGGTTTATCACTGAGTCAGACACCACATATAAAACACTACTGGACGGGACAAAAATCTCTTGTCGCTGAATTCAGCCAAATACAGCAGTCAGCATCATTATCAAGGTAAAAAAGTGAATGTAATTCTGAACTTCCAGACACCTTTTGACACCATTTGAAAAAATCCTATATCTGTGCTTTCATAGACTAAACTGTGAGTTTATAAGAATTGTGTTTTAAAATATTTTCCATTCTCCTCTATTTGGATGTACTGATGTTTAAGTGTTCATTCTAGGAACCATTCAAATTTTTTCTGTTAGAAATTTCAAGGTCAATGAGACTGCACTGTCTGCGCCTTTGTAAAATGAGATTTTTTGGGATTACTTCTGTATTGAGAACAAATGTCACATCCGTATTTTCCAGTTCTTATCAACATTAAAATGCAATTTCACTGTTAATAGAACAAAGTTTTGTAAAGTTAATATATTTGTGACACTTTCAGAGGTATCAATCTGATCATTTGAGGACTATGAAATTCTAAACTGCAATTCAGCTTTGCAGGTAAGCTTGTGGGGCAAAGGGAGAGAGATATTCAGGGAGAAAAATACAACTCTGCAGTTACATACAATTTCACTTCTTGAAAACATTTATCCACTTGACTAATAAGTACACAGTAAAATGAAATAGAAAACGCTAGAGTGAAATCTAATTTTCTTCACTCAAAAAGTCTACTATAAAACTTCAGAAGCTGATGAAGTGAAGAAATTGAGGGTGAAGTGTTATCAAATATGGCTGTTCTACTTCACAGGATCAAGTTCTCAGTCACAGCATCAAGCCATCTGTAAAACGTCAGATGTATTTGTGGTTGATAAACTAGGCTAAAAGAAGCTGGTACACAAAACATTACTATTACACATGTACACTCTTGAATTTGAGGACAAAATTAAGTTTAAACCACTTTTTTGTTCCGTAATAGAATCTAATAAAATGGAAATGGAAGAATCTAATAGAATAAAATAAAATGGAAAAAGTTAAATCCAGGCATTGAGAGCATATCTAGAATTTCAGCAAAAACAAATATGGCAAACGCACATCTTAAGCTTTCAGTTTTAATTATACACTAACCTATCCTAGCAACTGGGGAGTGCATATGTGTAAAAATGAGTTTTCCTATTTATAACTTATGTTTTAAACAACATTCTGTAATCCTAATAATTGTGCTTTTGATCATACAACATGTTACAGCAAAGAACATAGATAAGCCTACTACTGCAGTCAAGAGTTCACCAGTGCAGACTATTAATTTATTTCCTGTCCTTATCTGTAGTGAAGACATAGTCCAGCTACAAAAACCACAGTCCAGTGAAATTCCCTCTTGATTTCAAGGAAGTTACCAAATGTAGACAGCACACTGTGGTCAGTGGTCATGGGGGCAAACAAGGACAAAAGGGGAGAGGGCAATCACCAAGCAATCAGCCTACTATAGTCCTGGAGGCAGCCTGAGATCAAACCGTCTCTTTTAACATAAATCACTAATGGGTGTGTATAAGGTGTGAGCGGATCACTTACCTGATCCGTCTTGGCATCACCATTTTCAGCAGGGTTGTTTCCAGCATCACCTTTCCCCTTTTTCCCTTTAACTGCCTTCTGCAAAACAAAATACTTCTTAAATACAGTACAGGAAACACACTGGAGATTACAGAACATATGAACAAATCAGCTACAATTTTAATGTATTTTATCTCACTGAAAGAATAAATTTAAAGAAGTACCAACAGAACAACAGTTAAAACTGAACTAAACCGCTAGCCCCTTACAGGCCACTTCTGCCTAGAAGAGATGTGCCTTTAAACATCTCACATTATTTTGGAAAGTATAAACAGAACAGGTGTGGTCCAGGGACTCAATTCAAGGTAACCCCTTGAGCATCAATATCCAAAAGAAAAAAACAAACAAAATGTTTTTATTTTTCTTTCTTCAAAAGTTAGTTTGTGACTGTTAAAGGTGTGCTCCACATTTCAAGTCCCAGATTTTTTCTCTAATATGCCTACTACTTAGGGTATCTGAATCTGAAACTGATAGAACAAAGATATCAAATTCTGCATGAGGTTTTATAAAGCCAGGTCTAAGGGCCGGTCTCTACACATCTCCAAAATGTAACATTGGGCAAATCTTTATGACCACTTTTACACAAGTTTTATTAACAATGTTACCTTCTGGCACGTGATATTTCTAATTGCATAAAGGTAAATTTTCATAGAAAGAGGCCTTCTTGGAGAGCTTTAAGGGGCCAGTAATGTACCAATATGTATGCATGACAAATACCCTCAATTCATATGCCACAGCTGAAAAGACACTTTTTTTCTGTTAACTCATTAGTCTTGTTATGTATTTCCATCAGTATAAGTAGTGATATTACGAACCTAACGAGGTTTTTTTAGTCTTTCAAAATAAGCTTTTCTCAGCCTTTGAAGGTAGTCCATCTTTTTTAAAAACATTTAATAATGCAATTCACACACTAAGCAACACACAACATACAAGTCACAATATTTACAAACAAGCTATGCATGTTTACTAGGTAATGATAAGCTTGTTTTAATCCTTTCAAGACAAACTGGCCACCAGACTCATGGTCTCCACAGCCATCTTTACCTTTGTTCGCTACTTAAAAAAAATGCAAACAGTAAGACAATCAAATTCCCTAAACTAATCAAACCACTTGAAGTTTGGAATGTTCATGTAGCCAACAGTAGTTTTGTCGCTGACATGTTTGAAATGGTGCAAATCTCTAAAAGAAAAATAATGAGGCTTTTCTTTCAAATTAGTGTTTACCTGACCAAAATTTACTTTTCAAAACAATATGTAAAAAAGAAACATGATAAGCACAAAATGGACCAAAATATTTAAATACATAAAGTACATAATATCGTACATATTCAAACAACACTAAGTGCACACAGTGAACTGCGGCATTATTTGTTGCTGAAGTCTTTTTTAGATTTTTTGGTGCCAGCAGTGGCTCCTGTTCCACAAGGCCGAAGTGCTCAAAGGTCCTACTTCTTTTTCAGACGTATGTGCCACTTTTTGAAGCAGTTTCTGTCAACAATTAAGCATAAAGGTACGTTGCAACCTTCAAACCTCCAGGGCGTTTTCATCCTGCGTTTTTCCTCAGTGCATAGAACACAATATTTACATCAAATGGTGGACTTCAAACAGGACTTTAGTACCATACCCTCTGTGATGGCTACAGGGACACACAGTGCCGGTTTTTCAGTGCTTGGACAGTTCTTCTCCTGCTCCTCAACCCTCGTTGTCAACAAGCTGTATACACAGCAATTCTCTGAAACCTTTTTGAGTAAGTGCTCGATATTTCTGAATCTGAGAGTTCCTTATGAAGGATCAAACTATTAACAGCAGCTATGTCAACGAGGTGATAGAAAAGTTTCTTGTACCAACTCATGGTTTTCTGTGCCGTGATGTAATGTTTAATAAGGGCATCTGACAAATCCACACCTCCCATGTGCTGACTGTAGGCCTTGATTGGCTCAGGGACAGGTACAGACGTCACCCTCCAAGTCCCATCTTGGTTCTTCCAGCTGGACTGTTTCTCCTTTGTATGCTTTATGGATGGAACTGCACACTGTCACTTCATGTGTGTCCATCCATTTGGTGAACAGCAGTTCACCACTCCTTATTCAGCGCAATGTCCCTCTTTTATCTTTAGGGAGATAATTTTCTTTTGTGTATGGGAAACCCCGAGTATTCTGCCTTATTGTTCCACAAGCTCCAAACTTCTGTTTGTAAAGCTCTCGAAACAGTTCTGTGCTGGTGTAAAAATTGTAAACATACAAATGGCACCCTGTGCCTAAGTATGACACCTTTATAAGGTTCATAACACAATCATAACTCAGTCCTTTACCAAAAGCAATCTGAGATTTCCTTGTGTAGATACTGAAGTCACAGGTGTATCCACTGTTGGAATCTGCCAGCACAAACAGCTTGAAGCCCCATTTTGCTGGCTTTGCCTTCGGGGGTGATAGTATATCCGACAGGCTAAGAGCAAGGAATCCAAAGGAGGTCTGAGATGGAAAAGGCTATCGTGTTTTTGAGTTCCTCTTGTCTGATTATTCTTCTGATCTTCCTCTGGATCACTTATGTGTAGATTCCAGGAGATGGCTTCAAATCTTTTCCTGGACATAACACTACAGCAGAATGGAATTCCATATGGCCTACGCAGACTCCAGTAATCTCTCACACTATGAGCTGTTAGGAGCCCCATGAAAATTATACTACCAATGAAACTGATACATTCCTTCACTGAAACAGGAACCCAATGGTCTTGTTTTCCCTTAGCCTTCTGCACAGCGTATTTATTTGTGTTTATACACAGACTTTGTACAACATTCATACTGAAAAAAGGGTGGAAAAGATCTAGCAGGGAATACTTCTTTGTGGTGTACAGTTGTGGTCCAGGTGTACATGCTGGACAGAAGCGGAACTACACAGGTTTCACATCTTCTTCCCTTGCACTCTTCCACCTTTCCTCAGAGTCTGAGACTGAGCTCACCCTGCTGCACACCAATGGTTCTGCATACATGGGTGGTGGGCTACAAGGATAAGGTGTAGGAATCAAATTGCCTTCTCTTCCTCAGAGGAGCATTAGTACTCAGATAAGTTGAGGTAGTGGGGGTGTCTTCTTCAATCTCTTCACTGAAAATAAAAAAATGAAATTTAGAAAAAAACATAATTGGAAGTTTCCATTATTTTCATTGAACTACAGAAGACATGTTTCTTTCATCTCCATCTGATGGACAGGTGACACACAAAGTAACACCTTGGCCATTGAAAAGCTAAGAAAACAATTAATCTAATGTAAAAAAAAGTAATATGCAAATCTAAAAACTTTTTGGTAGATTACAGATGACAATACATGCTAAAATGTATTTCTATGTACACTGTGTGACTCATATAGTAATATTTACATTAAAACACGCATATTTAAAAATATGCATAACAATAACATCTAGAGTAATTATAATGCTATTTATGGTGTTTATTATTACATGAATAATATTATACTTACCAATCCCGAAGTGGATCTAATCCATCTTCAAATGCTGCTTTGGAGATTGAATTGGTGCTCTCCAGAACAGAGAGCTCACCGTTTTCAGCATTGCTGTCAGTCTTGCAAATCTCATCACAAACTTCAGGAATGCCACTTTCTTTGTTTTTTTCAAGCAACGGACGTGAAAAGGTGTCACAGAACATTTTTTAACTTTCGCTGCTGTGTACTGATGCGCTTGCTCTTTCTTATTGAAGTGGGTCTGAAAGGTTATATGTGTTGATAGATCATCGCTGGATTAGACTACAGACAGCCTCAACATATCACTGGGCAACTTTAGACTTCTTCTAAATCTGTAATGGTCAGAGTTTCACTGAGTGACAGCTAGTTCAGCAACTGAAGCAGCAAAACACACCAATCATTTGCAGCTTTTATCATACCAGGAAGGACTGGAGACACCGCAACGGGGATATCTCAGTAATGGAATCGCGTGTTTGGAAAATTATTTTGGTGTTTTACTGTAATGATGCAGGGTTGTTTTATTTAGGCAATCCTATGAAATATAAGATATGCAATAATATTTTCACTGTAAAAAAGACAAACGTGCAGTATCTGTTCATTATGTTGACAACATCATGTATCCTACTCAATCAGGAAAATGGTCTTTCATGTAAATATTGTACTGCCAGATTGGGATTTAAATATTCAGTCTTGAAGTAGAGGGCGTGTTGTTTCTTACGACATATAGTTTCCTATAGTTGTTCTGCATTTGATTTGGCTGTTAAAACTTGATGAAAGCGATTATTAGGATTGTATATTCTCCCATTCCACCCTCTTTAATATGTCTTGTTTCTTTATTTTCACTGCCATGAAAACAAATTTAGCCACTGGAATTACAGGACATGGGAGATCACTTGCACATGCAACAGTGTGTTCCGATTACAAAATACATTGTGATGATGTAAAGTGTAACTTTCAGGCACTGTCCCACAGAAGTCTGTTAGGGTATTTAAAACAAAAGAGTGACAGCTGAAGAAACTTCATTGTTTCAGATCAAAGTAAAATATTTACGAATACAACCAAAACGCTATCGGGTAGTGGTTGGTGGTTCCAGTAACGCACTGCCTATAAAACACATGAGAGTAACAACAAGCAGTAACTGCTCATTTGTTGCCAATGTTTAAGCAAAAAAAAATGAACAAAGGATTTCCCCTCCTTGAAACTGCAGGAGTATCCCTGGCTCCCAATATCACATTCATCTGGCATCCTACCACTCGACAAGGCACCAAAAAATTAATCCAACCTGCACTCAATCAACTGTAAAACACAATCCATTTTTATATTTTCCCTATGCCAAACAAACATTTGAACAATTACCACATTTTTCAGTTGACAGTATTATGTAAAGAAGTAGATGCCATACCTTAGGTGCAGTCTTTTTGGGTTTGGGCTCAGGCTTTGGCGGAGCAGGTTTCTAGTAACCAAATAACAAATATTAAAAATACGGAAGTTACTGCACAAAACAATTTAGTATCCATCACTAATGAACTCCAGACCCCATATGATGAGTATTTCAGTTTAAAAAGATACAAAATCAACACTGTGAAAGGAAAGGTGAAGAAAACTACAACACATTTTTGCACAATTTCTGATCACATCTGCTGAATCACTAGCAATTTTACCACTGAAACACATCACAAAAGTTCAAGTAACCAAGTGTTCACGAAATCTTCTCCACAGCACTCCAAAGGTTTAAAAACATACTTACAGCCAACAACCTTGCAGAACGTCTTGGCTGTGATATAGGGGGAAAAGAGAAAAACATTAGAAACCTCTTAGTTTCAATCGTAACTAAAAACTGATAAAACATTAAAAAGTCTAAAATAAAAAAACAGAACTTCACTGAGGCTTATTCGGGGGTCAGTTTTTGAACAAGTAGTTACATCAGGCTAGACACAACCAAGTTTTTCTGCCTAGAACACAAACTGCATATGATGAGCGAAACTGTGATTCAGTGTGCTTATTCTTCACGGGATGTGTGTGGTATGTGAAAAAATATTAAGACCAGATCAATACAGAGCAATGACATGCAAAATCTACATAATCGATAATGGCTAGATTGGCAAAACAGGTGAAAAAGAACATACACAACTGATGAGAACACTTTCGATTACAGCCAATAAAAATGTCTCTTCTGGAAACTTAAAATGTCATTACCAACCTCTTCCTTGGACTTGGTAGATTTATCTACTTCCATCTAAAAAAAAAAAGAAATTTTGTTATATAAAGTTAGTCAACTAAAAAAAGCTTAGACATTTTAACAGTTGTTTTGTGGATTGCACTTAAGTTGCAAAACGCTCCACGAGAAACCAACAACCTACAAGATTTACAATCGATTCATTTAGAAACGTCATTTCATTTACCTGCAATATAAAACTTGTTTTTACCAACTAAAAACCTTTAAAAAACAATTTAAGAAATCGAATAACCCAAAATGTGTATTTATAAATATGCGATGGACTAAAAAGCCGTTTGTTTTTATCCTTTCATATTAAAATGAATTTTTTATCAATCATGTTGCAATCAGAACCTACTGCTTTTATAAAACTTCTATAATTTAGCGGCAAGTTCAACGGATGAAGGATACCTGGCAAATCCTGCATATTAATGAGGTCCCAGGGTGGTCTTTTACATGTTTTATCTTTTGAACAGTTTCATATCAAACTTAATCAGATATAAGATCGGTTTTATCGAAAACGCATAAGTGCACATCATCACTTTCCGCGTCCCAGCAGCTGCGGCCGCACTTCCGCGGCACTGTTTTTGGCGGCCGCTGAGTTGGCGGTTGAAAATCTCCCGCCCATATTCAAATTCAAATCTGGTGCTCGAGCCCTGCGCGCCTCCTTTATTCCTGTCAGCGCGCGCTCCTGCCCAGAAATACCGCTGAACAAAAGAAAACTGCACTTTCTGCACAACCGTTATTTCTCCTAAGACCCTCACACGGCGAAGGAGACGCACTCCACAAGATTTATTTTTCACATCCATTTTTTTCCCTCGGACTTAAGTGTAAACGTGCTCTTTTTCGTTCTGACTTATGGAGAAGGAAAGCTGGACTGCACGGCGAAACCGCCCACTTCATATTAACACAAAAACACCAACAGGAAAAAAAAAACCCAAGTCGTCTATTTTTAATTTCGAAAGACGAAGCGCCTGGCAACAAACTCGGGTTAAAGTCAACTTGACCGACCCCTGCTTTTGTAGTAAATGTTCATAATTAATATTTACCCCAGGAATAAAAAAGAAATCGACCAACTAATTATTCAACCATCCGAATTGAATATAAATGTCTCAGGAAAGGCCTTCGTAATAAAATAATTTCATTTTCCCAACTAAGCGTTAGTTTGACCGAAACAACAATAACAAAGATGGCAGCCCGAATAAAACCGAGTAGGTAGCTTGAAGACCAGCAAGCAATCGAGAAAATAAAAAAAAAATAGCTTAATAACGCGGTCCTAAAAAATGCTGTGCCGAAAAAATACATTTTTCTAAAAAAATTCTAATTTTACATTTATCCTAGTTAATAATTCCTCAAGATTACTTTATTTTTTAATCGATACATTAAAAAAAATTAAAAACCAAACTTCTAACGACGCTTGTAAAATATTTGAGATAACCTACAAACATTTCAAAATTTACAATTTGTGATCAAATAAATATAAGGTCATGCGCACATTTGAGATACAGATGAGGAAAAATAAGGACGTGTGCTGTAAAAAAAAAAAAGATAAAACGCAGCTCTTAAAATTGTGCCAATGCCCAGCCGGAGAGCGGTGTCTAACCACATCACAGCGCGCCAAGACCCCAGTGCAACTTATTTTTTTAAATTAACTACCACGCATGTATTTAAAAATTAAAAGGAACAAAAACAAATAATTTTTAAAAGCGAAATGACATTTTCGGAAATATTCTTCACAATTTTGACAGCGCAGATGTCTCATCTTAAAATGCTGCAAAACGCTTGCAAGAGGTAAAGGAGTTTCTACTGCACGAAAAAAACAAGCTCGGTAATTTCAAAATATACATTAACAATATGGATAGTTGCTATACGATACAGTTGCTGTATTTTCATACCTTTCTTTTAGGCATCTTAACCGCTTTCACTTGCAACACAACTAGGAGAAAAGGAAAGCTCGTTCACCGCTGCGGGCAGGTCCGGAGGAAACCGTTAAGCAATGGTAAATGTAATATAATGGCTGTATCTTTTATAAAGTTTTTATATAGAAATATAAGATGGAAACCGGTTTGAACCAGATTTTTGCATCTCGGACGCAGGCATTGGCTGGAAACCGCATCACGTGCTAGGGGGTGTAGCACCTCCCTTAAAGAGACAGGCGCCTTTTTATGCAGTTGCAGTGCTCGACGTGGACGGGGCGCTCGGTATGGCGCTGCTGAGTTACATTTATGACGATACAGTGCTACACACCCGAAGGATTTGACTACTGACTGCAGTGTTTAAGATACACAGCAATGTGTTCGACAGCGGGGACTACTTTGTAATCCTACCATTTGCTGCCTATTTAATTTAAATACTTCAACTTTAAATTAATTGCAAATTAAACAATCCACATCCCAGGTGCAAAAATGTACTATACTGTCCAACAACATTCAGTCATTTCAGAATCAAGGAGAGACTTAAGCACTTGATTTAAGGCAACATTTAAATCTTTTCTCTCATATAGCAATGGGAAATCTTTCACCTGACAAAATAACTTGAAATTGATTAACATTAAGCTACAAAAACAGTCAATTTTAGAAATGATAGGTTGAGGTCCTAATAAAATGTGTAAGACGTAGCTCAAAGTGTGTATTTCACAGGTGGAGGGGCACTTACGCATGGAAATGTGCGTCTTCGCTGGGACTTACCTTCCAGGCATCACGCAGCTGGTAGGATAATGACTTTATTTGGCTAAAAATAACAGTTCAGTTCACAGAAGTCAGGCTGTCCATCTCCCATTGATTTTGGTGAAAGAGGGACAACTGCCAGAGAAACCCACAGGCAGAGCCATGTTCCACTCTGGCGCTTATCCACTGTCTCCATGTCGGTGAAACGGTGTTCTTCGCTGCCATGAGAGGAAGAGGAGAAGCCCACTGCAACCACCCCCAGCACCCTGGGCTGCAGCTATTGCATGAAACAGTGCGATGGACGGGCGACACCGATCCAGAACAGCACACGCCCCTGCCCCTGCCCATTTAGGGAATGCAAGGGGAGGAGACAGGGGAGTTACAGGTCCCACAAAACCTTGTCAAGCCTCCCCACTGCTACAATCTACTGAAACCCCAGGACTATCAGGCTCCACTCTCAAAGCAGCTTAAAGCCCACTTGAAGCCTGAAGCCCCAGCCCCTCCTCTGGCCTGGAGAGCGTGGCTGAGAGCTGGGCCTTCAGAGCCGGAGCTCCGAAGCTCATCCAGGCTGCGTGGCCCGTGGGATCGGAGGCCTGGCCAAGGTCTCGCCAACCTCGCGCTCTGCGCTGCGTCACGCCCTCCCCTGTTCCGCCCGACAGGAAACACTGCACAGCCCCAGCCAGGCGAAAAGATTGCTAGCTGTTAGGACGACAATGTAGGAGCCGGTCACTTGTTTTAACCGGCACGAGCGTTTGCATGCGACGAGCTAGCCAAGCTTAGCAAAACCGAAAACATTCTTCTGCTTTGACCGCTCCCTCTTGACCATACTTAGTTGTTGAGGATGGCTTTCAGTATTATGAAGAAAACATCAGGAACATATACAATGTTGTTTTCACAACACACTGTTGTTGCAAACCTGTCAGGGACATGTCTGCTTCAAAACAAACACTCCTAACAGGGGGAGCATGAATCTGGAGGGCCAGAACAGTGCTCCTGGGAAGATCAGGTACATCAGTTCAGCAGATCTGGAGCAGACAGGAGATCTCCGAACCCTCAGGAGCTCTGGCAGTCCATCAGAACACACACCGCTCCTCACAGGTGGGAAGACAACGACCCGCTGCCTTTTCAATTTCAATTCACTGCCTTTAGATGTTGTGGTTTAAAACCAAACCGTAATACACTTACAAGACCTTTGCTGTGCTCTTTAGAATGCTGGCGGAAGCCGTGAAGAATGAAGGGCTTTTTGCAGTAAAGACGGCTTTACATTTTGTGAACAAATGGCATATCGGCAAAAACGCTGCAGAAAAGTACAAAAGTGCTGCAAAAAAGAGAAGAGAGGGGCTTGATCCATAAACGCCACCGTCTCCACCTGGCTGTAATCGGGGGGGGGGTCACAACACAATGATCGAACAGCAGCCGCAGACACCGCGGGGGGCGTTTCCCCCAGAACAGAAACAGCCCTCCGCCAGAGGACAGCGGAAAACTGACGGAACAGCAGCACAGGGATACGTTTCCACACTGTAGGGAGCACAGCGACAGAAATTCCTTCATCACGTCAGCACAGGAAGAACTTTTATTCTTTAACGCCCCATAGGGGTAAAATTCCTTTGTCTCCATATATACAGAATTTAAATAAAATTGTGTGTTGGTAGTTCCACCTGACTCCCCCACCCCACCCTCTCCCAATTACATGTCACTAAAAATGGGGCCCCTCCCCCCCGCCTCCGCCGGGGCTAGGCGCTCACAGACGCCAAAGACGCCTCGCTCAAGACGGTGAAGAAGCTGTCCCGCCTCTGCTGCAAGGCCCCGAGGAAGCCCTGCACCCTCGTCTCCCTCTCCACCGTGTACTTCTGCAGCAGCTCCTGCCTCTGCCGGGCGTCCGGGCTTCTGCCCGACCCGTTCTGCTGCAGGAGGTCGGACACGCAGCGCCGGTCCGCTTCCAGCTGCTGCCGGGCCTGCTCCTCTCTGTGATGCTCTCGGGCCTTCTGCAATAGGGACAGGGGCGTGAGACAACAGCCGGCTTCAGTGACCGGGCCGGGCGGGTCCAGCCGCAAGCACACAGAGCGCGAGACGAACAGCAGGGAGGCGTTCGGCCCATCTCGTCAGTGGGGAGCTAACTGATCCAAGGGCCTCACTCAGCTGTTTACTGAAAGAAGCCAAAATGGCTGGGCAGCTTGTTCCACACTCCCACCACCCTTTGGGTAAAGAAGTGGCTGCTGTTCTCAGTTAAGAGTTGCAATTCCACTTGTGCCTCACTGGTTCATGTTTCACTGCTGATTTGGAAGAAATCCTCTAGGTTGACTTTATCAGTGTCTTGGAGGATTTTGAATATGTGAATCAGATCCCCTCTTAGTCTTCTCTTTTCAAGACTCAGCAGGGCCAATTCCTTCTGCCTGTCATCGTCAGACAAAACTGATCTGACTGCTCTTCTCTGGACAGAAACTGGGTAACTCCTTGTTCTGCTGACATGTAACAAGACATTCGCGAGCCTAGGCTGCAGTTGAAAGGAAGAACTAAGGCTGCTGCTGCTGGAAGAGGTGTTAGTGGGGCCAGCAGGGGGCGCTCACCCTGCGGTCCATGTGGGTCTTAATGCCCCGGTATAGTGATAGGGACACTATACTGTAAACAGGCGCCGTCCTTCGGATGAGACGTAAAACCGAGGTCCTGACTCTGTGGTCATTAAAAATCCCAGGGTGTCTCTCGAAAAGAGTAGGGGTGTAACCCCGGCGTCCTGGCCAAATTTCCCATTGGCCCTTACCAATCAAGGCCTCCCAATTATCCCCCTCTATGAATTGGCTACATTACTCTGCTTTCCTCCCCACTGATAGCTGATGTGTGGTGAGTGTATCGGTGCACTATGGCTGCCGTCGCATCACCCAGGTGGATGCTGCACATTGGTGGTGGTGGAGGAGGAGATTCCCCATTACCTGTAAAGCGCTTTGAGTGGAGTGTCCAGAAAAGCGCTATATAAGTGTAAGCAATTCTTATTATTATTACACTAGGGGTATTCAGCCCTCGACCTGAAGGCCTGTCTTGTCTGCCAGGTTTGCCTGGTCTCTTAAGGCCCCAGTACTTGACCTCAAGAGCAAAACTGTTAAACCCAAAATCAACTGGCTGAGGACTGAGGTTGGTAACTAAGTTAGAATGAAAATCTGCAGACACCCATACACAGCTGGGCTAAACTTGCTCACTATTTTTTTAGCTTTGTATGCAGATGTAGGATCTGCAACTTAAAAACAGCACAGTGATATAACATAACATTTAATTTAAAAAAAAAATGGCAAACTAATTGGGAATGTACTTGTAAATATCTAAAACATGCTGATTACTTTGGAGATCCGGTTGATATTTTCCATAGAGCTCTCACTTCACAAACTCAAGGTTGTATCGATATGTGTTAGCACATGCTCCATTCTGTGTCAGCTATGTCATTTCTGGTTTTTAAATTTCCCTTTCTAAATTGTAGCAGTCTCTGGAAATGGCCCTGGTGTGTGTGTCCGTGGATGTATCCCATTGCATGCCGAGATAGGCTCCGGCACATCTGCAACCCTGTACTGGATGAAGAGCTTAGAAAATGTACGGATGGATAATTTATTTTAACCTCTGGTTCCCAGCTCGTGCCCTGGGGCACCCCTGTTGCCCTTCTGATTTATCAATCACACGCTGCACTGAAGCTCTGGAGCTTTGAGGCTAATTGATTTCAATTCAGTTTTGTATTTCGGGCACTCCTGATCTGGATCTGGGAAAAAAACTGGACCAGTTTTGTAGAGTGAGGCTGCCAAAGGATGAAGATGAAGATTATCATACCTGCAGTGAACAGTAGCTCAGCTGGTACTGCAGTATAGCTTCACAGAGATTCCAGAAGGAATATTCTGGCCACAACACAGACTGGAACACCAAGCAGGAATACGAGGTCTGGGGAGACAATTTAGGAAACAACAAGAGAAATGATATACTGCTCATCTTCATCATTTGACTGCGAGTTAGCTGCATGATCTCAATATCTTATCTGGCCTCTTGCAGGATTCCAGAACATTTGGATCTTCAATCTGGTTAAATTAAAAGAAAAGTAGATCTGGCAGAGCTCTGGCTCCAGAGCTGCTCAGGGACCAGAGCCGGACAGTTTTTGCCAGCTGAATTCCGGAGCCTGGAGCCTGGAACCAAACTGCACAGACGCTCCGGAGTCCGGAGCCCGGAGCCCGGAGCCCGGAACAGAACTGCACTGAAGCTCCGGATCCCGGAACCATGCTGCACTGAAGTTCCGGAACCCTACAATACTGTTAAATCTGTTAAATGTATATTTTGTGTTAAATGTCTCGTGTAATGTGTTATATCTTTACCTGCCTGCAAAGCAAATTCCCCATCTGGGACAATAAAGTAAACTGAGAGCACTGTAAGACAACACAACTGTAGGGGTCCTTCTGGGGAATGGCTACCTCTGGCTAAAGTCTCCATGTTATCACTGCAACTAATCAAATGGTTGTTGCAACATAACACGCAAGTTTACACAACAATCACAAAACAATCAAGTCAACAGGTTACCCATCATGACTGGACCCGTCCGCCACAGAAGAGTCACACCCACTGTGATCTAACCGAGGTGTTTAACATATAAATGACAGACTTCAGAAGAGATGTCGGAAAGATTGTATGCTTATCTGTAGATACATTTCCAGCCCCACGCATTCATACTATGAATGCATTTAAAATGAATGAATTGCTTACACTTATAAAGCGCTTTTCTGGACACTCCACTCAAAGCGCTTTACAGGTAGTGGGGACTCCCCTCCACCACCAGTGTGCAGCCCCACCTGGATGATGCGACGGCAGCCATAGTGCGCCAGAACGCTCACCACACATCAGCTCTCAGCTCTCAGCTCCGCAGGGAGGAGAGCAGAGTAATGAAACCAATTCATATTTGGGGATTATTAGGACTGGACTGGTAAAAGCCAATGGGAAATTTGGCCAGGACGCCGGGGTAACTCCCCTACTCTTTTCGGAAAAGACCCTGGGATTTTTAACGACCACTGAGAGTCAGGACCTCGGTTTTACGTCTCAACTGAGGGACAGCACCTTTTTACAGTATAGTGTCCCCGTCGCTATACTGGGGCATTAGGAGCCATATAGAGCGCAGGGTGAGCGCCCCCTGCTGGCCCCACTAACACCTCTCAGCTTTTCCCAGGAGGTCTCCCATCCAGGTACTGACCAGGCTCACACCTACTGGCCTTCAGTGGGCTGCCAGTTGTGAGCCGCAGGGTGATATGGCTGCTGGCTAAAATGGTCAGTTTCTCACTACTGACTATCATAAGTATTTTAGAGACTGTGTCTTAGATGCAAGATGGTTTAGTTTGTCATGTCATATTGTTTACTGCTCTGTATTGTTTGTAACACTTTTAATATGTTACTAGTACTGATTCTTTTCAATGAGTTTCCATGTATGGATGTTCCAGTGCATGCAGGTCTAATTACTGCTGATTTCATGGTGAAAGGAATGCTGTTATTCTCTATCACCACTATCGGTTATATACTGTACTTTAAATGAACATACTGCTGCATCATCATTGCAGAGCTCAAATATATAACTTTGGTTATACCTTTTAGGTCTTCGTTCTCTTTTGTAATTAATCCCATAAGGGATGCCATGTATATTTTTTTAATTGTAGTTTATGTTAGTCATATAATTCATAATTGCAATTTTGTTTTATTTTAGAAAACCCGATCCACTACTCCTGAACCATTTTTCATTATTATTTCATCACCACCAGTTGAGGAAACGCTTCCTGTGTGCAATCTCCTGTGTGGCGGGTTTATCTTTCTGATAACAGAGTAATGAAGCCCGTCATAGATGAGGATAACTAGGAGGTCATGACTTCTAAAGGCCAGGGGAAATCTGGCAAGAACACTGCGGTTAACTCACCTACCCTAACCACAGACCTCAGGTTTAGGTCTCATCTAAAGAATGGAGCCTTTTTTATAGTACAGTGTCCTCATCACTATGCTAGGGCATTAGGACCCACAGAGAGTGCAAGGGGAGCGCCCCCTGCTGATCCCACAACACCAGTGTAGCTTATTAGCCTACACAAAGGGGCTTCAAGGTTTGACCAAGTGATCATATGTTCTAGCCGTCATCACAGAAACATAAGCCATCTGTGCAGACTGCAGAACAATACGTACATTCTACTCGTTTTAACTCACTTAGCAATACTCAGAGATTCTTTTTTCCAAAACATTTACACTCTTAAAACACGGCACTCATTGTGAAAAGCTGTACATTTTACATAAAAGTCCAAAACTTTAACTACCAGTTCATTTAAATCACATGCTATCTTTGGAAGCCACCAAATAGCTGATCATTTTTTTCAAAGCACTTATAATGAGGCCCAGGCTGGAGTCGGAGCAGTTCTGGAGCTGGGAGCAGGGCAACCTGGAGCTCCCAACCAGTCCTAAAGCCTGACTTCCCGACTGGCCCCGGAGCCAGGCTGCAGCCAGAGCTGACCTGCTGAAGGTGGTCCGGTTCCGGAAGCAACGTCAACCCCGGTGGGGACAACACATGGGGAGCCTCCCTACCTGCCACAGGAGGAAGTCGCTCAGCCGCACCTCTCCGGACGTCCTGATGAGCAGGTCGGGGTCAGGGGAGTTACTGGTGTACAGACACTTGCCCAGCAGTGACTCTGACACATCGCTGCAATGAAACAAACACTCTGTTTTACTCCTCCCATCTGCCTCAAAAGTAAAAAAAAAAATCCCTGCAGCATTTAATTGAGATTTTCACTTCCTGATAACATTTATTATTACAGACCCTTAACAGAGCCTATGCTCAGGTGTTCTCTTAAAAAGTAATTCACCTTTTAACCAAAATAGTTACTGAGGTGGACAAATTAACAGTGTGAATCTTAAAACAGTGCAGAAAGATAAAAAAAGCATAGCAATTCACCTAAAGTTAAGTTACAAGTTACACAATAAGCAAGTCTGTACTGCAGAAAACAATTAAAGCAAGCCCAGCGAAGGTCCGCATGTATCCTGGCACTATTAAGGTGAAAAACTTTGTTCATCCATACTTAATGAAAGGTTCAGCACAAGTGAAAAGCTCACACAAGCAAACTGAAGAAGTCGAATATTAGAACTACGGCTTTCCATCTCCTGGTTCCACTTCAAGGCACAGCAAGAAATTGTACAAGCAGAACTAGCATTTAAGCACTATCCCAGCTTTACTGGTTGTTCTTAATTGGCAAACATTGGTTAGGTTCCCCACTCAATCTCAATGCATTACATAAAGGGCTTTCACAGAATCCAACTCATTATATTTTTCCCCAAAGTGAATGAACTGAATATCTCAATTGATTCCATTCAATTCAACTTGAAGTCCACATTAAAATCCCATCTGGATTATTCAATCCAAAAACAAATCAAACTAACACCTAAAGCCACACAGGATTCATTGCCGTGACCAGGATGTACAATTACAAATTGCAAATGCAGCCCAAAATGCTTTTGAAGGGGAACTGCAAAGCTGTTTTTATAGTTTGGGGTTCGAAAGAATCAGCATTGATGAGGGCATCAATGAAAGTAAAATGTACACAGTAAAACCTCCAATTTACACCACAAAATAGACCAAACTCCCAGGTCTGTGCAGGTCTGTGCGGCACCATATTCTGGTACTCAGAAAGAGGCAACCAAACTTCCGGAGAGGTGAAACCTGTGACATTGTAAAAAGCAGCTTGTGGATACATCTCTTTTAATCCAATAGAAATATTGCTTTTGACTTCAAGAGGGTTTTGCAGACAAATACTACTTATTTGTTTACTCTGCATGCAGATCACATTGGAACATTTCTGTGGTGAAACGTCTGCTGGCCAACCTGTACTTGTTCATTCTTTGATCACATTACTTATTGCAGGGACTAGTGAGCAGGAAGGGCATGACACAATCTGCGCAAATTCTCGCTATCGCCAGTAAAAAGCAGTTAGCGAATAAAATGGCAGTTATATAGTACTTTCATGATTTTGTGCTTATTTCAAAATGAATAAAGAAAATCTATAATGTCAATTAATTTATTAATGACATCTAATAAAATTGTGCTTCCAGTTCACCTTTAACAATGAAAGCTTTTTGGTTCAAAATGCTGTCCTTAGCATTTCACCTTTTTTGATCCACAAATATTGGATTGCTGTCTGACCCGAAATAAATATTAAATGCAGAGTTCGTAGAACTACTGAGAACACTTTTTATGTACAGCATGGATGGTTATTTCATTGAAATTTTGCAACAGCCATGTTGCAATCAGTCAAGTGTAGTGTTTGTTTGTAAAGGAAATGGTTCACGAAACAAAACCACACCTGCCACTAGGCCACCCAATTTCGGTTCTCATCCTTAAGGTTTGTGAGGAGCCAATTCACAGGACACCCACATACACACCCTGGACACCAGCCCATCACAGGGCACCCACATACACACCCTGGACAGGATACCAGCCCATTGCAGGACTCTCACATACCTACACACACTCACCCTGGATGGGTCACCAGTCCAGAACCTTACCCAGGTTATGATATATTTTATATCTGCGCCAAAGATCCATGAAGCAGTATCACTAACCAGCAGGTAAACCACACACAGAGTTCTAACCTGATCTCTAACCCAAATGTTAACACCACACAGTGATAAAGCATGGTTTGTGAAAGTATTATCTGGTTTTCTCGGTGTGAAATCCAGGATGCAGGAGACTGCAGAGCAGTGAAAAGATCGGATGCTCTCACCTCGATCTGATGAGCCCCTGCTCCACACCCCAGGCCATGTCTTTCACCGCAGAGCTGATCTCGTGTCTGGAGGTGTAGGCGAAGCACACATTCAGAAAACACCTGGGAGAGCAGGAGGGGCAACAAAAATGAAAAGTTAAAGGTAAGTACTGGCATCTCATGTTTTAAACCAGTTTATCTATCACAGCACCTTACCAGCCATTGATGTGAGTGGAAAAGAAATAGTAATGATGACGATTACATCCAGAGTTCAGATAGTCCAATTATATGTTTAAGAATCACTGCTCTTCAGAGATCACAGAATAGCTGTTTCAGTAGCAGGGTGCCAGTACTGCAGTCCACAGCTGTACCTGGCGAAGAAATCACAATGGTCCCTCCTATTGGACTCCAAAGACACAGGACTGCAGGAGGATGTGTGATAAGGCAGACAAGAGGCTGCTGTAATAACACGTCCAACAGTGGCCGAGACTGAAGTAGGTTTGCTCTGCTCAGAATGTTTTTTTGCTAAGAAAAACACAAACTGCCATGGCAAAAAAAAAAAAACTGCTTTATGAAGTTCATTTAAAGTGATATGTTTTGCATTATTAGGCATTTATCTCTTCTGTATAAAGCGGTTTCAATCCTAAAACTAAAAGTGCTCTGAAGGAAGTAGGAAGACCTACATCTTTGCCACCTTTTGAAACACCGGCTGTGTCAATCTAAGGCAATGCTCAATTATTCCAATTACATTTATTATTTTGCCTAGTGGCTATATTACAGGTTTAACAGATTATAATTCTTGCAAAATGTTAAATGCTGCACTGAGATACATGGCCTGTTTAACTGGTTTTAAATGAGTGATTTAATATAAACCCCTTATATTGAAAGGACACGCAGTATTTTGCTCAGAGCAACAACTTGAAAAGGGCACAGGCTTGGCTGTTACCCTTTATATATGAAAATCCTGACACCGTGTTGTGCTTGGAATGTTTTTTACAAAAATCTGCATCCAGCCCCAGCAGCATTGTGGGTCTGCAAAAGCGCTCATCTGTGAAGGCAGCTCTGTGTGCTCCAAATGAAGAGAAAGCAATCCACAGCACTGTTCAACCATTAAACACATATAGAGAATTAAAAAAAAACATTTTAAATAACTGAGTATTATGCAGGGCAGCACAATGGTGTTTAGCATTGCTGGCTGACAACTCTAGGACCCAGGGTTCAATTTCCGGGGTGCTGTCGCATGTTTTTATGTTCTTCTTACATTTGTATGGATTTTCTCCCAAGTGCTCTGGTTTCCTTCCACAGTCCAAAGAACTACTGGTAGGTAAGCTGGCTTCTGGAAAAACTGGCTCTGGTGTGAGTGTGTCTGTATAGACCCTGTGATAGACTGGTGTCCCATCCAGAGTGTAGCCTGCCTTGGTCCCTTTGCTTGCCAGGATAGGCTCTGGCCCCCATGACCCAGAATAGGATATCGAGGTTGGAAAATGGATAGATAGATGGAGTGTAATGAATGTGTCTCGGCACACAGGAATCATTCTTGGTACTGCAAGGGGAGAGCGAGGAAGAGCTGACCAGCTTGCCGGAGGCCTGGTGCTTACAGGAGGAGGAGCGCGCCCATCACCAACATCAACAGCAGGGACGCCGTTAATGGGGACAGTGAATAGCAGTCCCACAGAGCCTGCTCAATCATTTTTTCCCTTGTTTTTAAAGAACCCCAAAAAATAATGGATGTATAGTGCATCTGACAGAACTCAAAAGATTTCTGAAATGCCTTTGACAGGGTTCCCCACAACTGGCCAATTCTTAAACACAGAGCTTATTTCCTTCCTTTTGTCTTGTCCAATTCGAAAAGATAGACGTACTGTAACATGCACACAAGACAAAATGATAAAAAGGGGTCAACTGGCTGTGGACCACACCAGAAAAACAAAATGAACAGTCTCTACAGGTTCTAAGAGGTAGAAGATGGAGACAAGATGGAGGTTCTGGTCTGGACCGCATTTCCCAGAGAGCAATGGGGAATGACCTGCTGTCCTCAGTCACATGTACAATTTGAGAAAGACAATTGGTCAGGTGTCAGCTAAAACCAGGAAGAGGAGGCTACCAGCCTCTGCTCATCACCAGCCTCTGCTGTCTAAGAGAAAAGCTGAATCTCTCAGATGCATCAGACGGAGAAGGGAGCGAGTGAGGAAGCAACCATTTTGGAAATTGTTTGTTTTGGGGTTTTGCTACCAGTAAGCAGCTTAGCTGCTCAGCTCTTTACAGAGCGGACAAAAAAAAAAGAAATGTAGTTAGCTCCCTGAGTTTTGCTTTGTTTGGAATTCATTAGCATTGCATATAAATAAAAGGCACTGCTTATTTTACCTTAGGGCTGTGTTTTGTGTGCCTATTTTCCAAAATCTGCCTATAAAAGATAACTGCTGCTGCTACAAAACAAAGGTTTTTCATTTACCTCTTGTTTCCTCGGCTTCTCCCACCACCACCTCCTTCAACCCCACATCACACAGCACTCAGCAATCCCAGGCATGACCTGAACTCCTCAGTAAAACCGTGTAGCTGCGTGTCACAGTTCAATATACTATATCCACTGTACCAGTTTACACATCGCACAAGATACGCAAGCTAATGATGCACACAGTGCATGTCATACCTCTTCTGAAATGAAACAACACTGCCAAGTATGAAAAATACCGAAGTAAAATGCAAACTAATAATAAAACAATGGACAAAGAAAAACACTATATAACCTTAAACCATTTTGAAAAAACCTAGTGCTCATGTAATCCAATTACATGTCTAACCAACAATACTCTTCTGTCCAAGAGCTTCCCACCACAGTGCTTGTGACTCAGGTGTCTTTTGGAAATCTCTCACAATAATTCAGTCATACTGTTGGGTTAACCAAAACCAACCAGTAACCAATGACCAACCAATAACTTGCTTATTACGTCTTCTAAATTGCTTTAACTTCTGAAATAATTGTCCAAAAATGTCCCAAAACACAACAGGATGGAAGAATAAGGGTTCAAGAAGCGTTGACTCAATTCTTGTGAAAACAAAGGGAGCAGTTAACGGTGGGAACTGTAGGGAGACAAACCAGTCCAATCTGAGACCTTCAGCAGCGAGACACACTGGCCCAGTCTCTGACCCTCAAGAGACTGGCCCGTCCAGTCGGTGAGTCAGTCGCGAGGCAGGCCGGTCCAGTCGCCGAGTCAGTCGCCGAGTCAGTCGCCGAGTCAGTCGCCGAGTCAGTCGCCGAGTCAGTCGCCGAGTCAGTCGCCGAGTCAGTCGCCGAGTCAGTCGCGAGACTCTGCTCACTTGTTGTGGGTCTTGGTCGCCAGCACAGCCTGGGCGATGAGCTCTTGGAGGTCCCGAGGGAGCAGAGCCAAGTCTCCCAGCACCCGGATACAGACCCCATGTTTCTCCAGGTTCTCCCTAGGGAGGAAAGTGGGAAAGAAGGAAAAGACTGATTATATGGAAAATGATTTACTAGAAGGTGAAAATGACTAATTCTGAAGAATCCATGACCTGATTTTCCTTTTTTGTTGTCAAGTTATTCTAACCATGGAATCATGTGAAAACGTAACTTGAACAAATGATTTGACCTTAGACACACAAAATATGGTTATTTAAAGAAATAATTTTGCTTTCTCTCCTGAAAGATCTATCGGTTTCTTCCATGTTTTTCCCCCGCAAGATGCTGCTTAATCTCTCCCCTTCGGCTTTTGTTTAAAATAAAATAAAACAAATCACCTTGTCCCTGATGACCTGATCTTCACCATATAAACTGAGAGGCACAGCTAATTCCAAAGCGACTGACGTTACAGTCATTACTCCAAGACTGCAAAGCCTCCAGTGGAAGCAGGGTGCATTTCTATATATATATTGCATGATGTTGACTAACAATTCATTAACCCCCCCCAAAACAGGTGATATAACTGCTTACGCAACAATGTGATTATACAAGATCAACAATTAAGTTTAGAGCTGAAACAAAAAACCCAGAACCCTGCCACTCTTAGGGTCCAGAGGTCTTCAGCTCTGTAAGAAGCTTTAAAATTATAGTTAGAACCACTTCAGGTGTTGTCTGTAACTTCAGTCACCATGCCAGTGCACCAGTGTCAACAAAAAAGCTGCGCCATTTCTGTAGCTCTGCTTTCGGGCAAAATTACTGGATTCTGCTATGACCAGACAGATTTTGGAAACCGGAAGAGCCCAACCCCTAAGACATGAACTGTGGGCGACAGGATTACTGGGCTCCCTTACTGTTCCTCCAGGAGCCTGCTGAACTTCTGCCGTGCCAGCTCCATCAGCCCTTCCACCTCCTGCTTGGAGCGCTTGAAGTTCTCGATACTGAAAGCGTAGACAGTCACCTCCTGGATCTCCAGATTTAAACACCAGCGCAGCGTCTATCAGAAGAGAGAGGAATCGCACAATCCCAGTCTGAGTCGGAAGGTACTGAACTGGGTAATTGAACAGTGAGACATAAACAACAGGGAGGAAGTGGAAACAAGGTGGAAGTGCCTTTAAAACAGAGAACAGGAGGCAGATCTTTACACAAAGAGTTGTGGGAGTGTGCAACAAGCTACCAGGCCATGTTGTTGAAGCCGATACGCAGGGTTCTATCAAGACACAGCTGGATGAGATCCTACACTCTAAGCTGGACATAAAACAACTTGTTGAGCTGCAACCAGCCTTACAGCTGGGAGAAGGATGTGAGATGTGCAACAGAGGCTTAAAGGGGGCATTAAGTGCAAAGCAAAAAAGATAAATGGATCCAAACTGGGACAGCATGGTGGCATAGTGGTTATCATTGCTGCCTCACAGCCCTATGGCCCTGGGTTCAATTCCTGGGCTCCTGTCAGCATGGAGCTTGTATGTTCTTCCCGTGTTCATGTGGGTTTCCCCCCAGAGCTCTGGAAAACTGGCCCTGGTGTGAGTGTGTGCATGTTTGTGTCTGTCTGCCACGTGATGGACTGGCATCCTGTCCAGGTTGTCTATTGTCTTGTGCCCACTGACTGCCGGGAGAGGCTCTGGCTCCCATGTGACCCTGAATTGGATAACGTGTCTAGAAAATGGATGGATGGATCCAAACTGCAGTCCAGACTGAATTTTGTCACTGTATGACAACTGCATTCTCCAAAACATTTCCACATTTTTCCATAATACCAAGTTTATAATACGTCTTATTGTGTCCGCAGATGACACACTGTGGTTTTAGTGGCTCTGGAAGCTCCACGCTGACAGGATTGGTTTTTGAGACCATAAGCATGGCATTATAAGATATGCTCTGATTACACTTATAATGCCAAGAGATTTGACAGGGCAGTTCCCCCTTTTAATTAGACTGATTGACCCCTTCTCCATGGCTCATAAGGTGCTGATAAAGAGACCTAGAACATTTTCTGGATTACAGAATTCAGGCACTAGCAGTAGGAGCAAGCAAATACATTACAGTGGCTGTCATCAGATACTTGAGATGCCAGCGTAACAGATCTCAATCAGAGCTCACAGCATGCAAGTAGTAAAGACCCACATGTCCAAGTTTCATTTGTACAATGTAAATGAGCAGACTGAAAGTAAACAGGCAGATCAGGAGCCAACCCAGGGAAAAAGAGAAACCCTGAGAAGTGAGACACAGGCTGTGCTGACTGTCAAAACAGTCTGGGGGCGTATGAACTCTGGGAGTAGGTAATCCAGCATGTCACAGTCGACAGCGCGCCTTCGAACGTGTGTGTCCTAGTTGGTCTTCCAAAGAAGAGAGAATTCACAACGGCAACTGTGGAAGAGGGGAAACGGAGAAACGGGGGTGGAGGGGAATGAGCCCAGAGGGGCCCGGGCCTCCTGTACCGCGTCCAGACGCGCGCAAGGCCTCACCTCCGCCAGCTTGTCGAAGCCCTGCGTGTGGCCCTCCTGCCTCTCCACATGCCGCTTGCGGGCGTAGCGGCGGTTGCCGTCCATGATGAAGGCGATGTGTCTGGGCATCGGGCCGGCCTGCAGCACAGGCGTGGGACAGCGCGCGAATCCGTGAGCCAGTCGCGGAGCACGCGGACCCACACACACACCAGAGCACGCCAAACGCAAGCGAGCGCGCGCGGCGGGACCCCAGAACACAAACGTCATTTGGGATTCAGGAAAGAAATACAGCAATGAAAACCCGACAAAAACCTGTTGAACTCTCAGCCCAGTCCCGCCTTTCAAGGCCTACTGATCTTTATACCCTCAGAATGGCTACCCTGTGCCATTTGTCTGTGAGACATATTTAATTTGTGTAAACATATTCAGTGTTTTGTATTTTGCGTTCTTATTTCGGGTTATTATTACTGTGGTAATTGGTGTAGTGTGAGGGCAGTTTTATTTGACTGACCTAGGGGAAGGTGTGGTGTGGACAACTGAGGAGGGAACGCAGGCTTGCACCGTGTCCAATAGTCTTCTTTTTCTTCTAGGCTTTTCTTTATTTTCTGTCTCAATAAAGTTTGATAATCGGCCATAAAAGATCTGTTTTCTTTCATATGAATACCTAAAACCGTAAACCGAGGATTTTATAGTATGGTTTAGAGTCATTAAACCCACAAAGTGCTAAGGTTGGACATGTAGTTCAGACCATATTTTGGAGAGTGAGTGACGTATCTTATTCTGAGGGTGGTGCCACTGCCTCTTCCCTCCTGTCTCCTCAACAATAACCTCACCGAAGAACACAGCAAGCCGGACAACGCCTTCAGCCTCCCTGGAGTCTTAATAAACGTTCCCAATTACGTTTTCACCACTCTGCTCCTGTGTGCAAATAATTAGAATTATTGTGTGCCCAGGTAATAAAAGCACAACCAGAATATGTTCTGCTCCAGTGCCTTTGGAGGAAGTAAAAAAAATAAAATACACTGCTGCTTTCTTGGCCAAATCACATCAGACGTGTGCCATGCCGTATGATAAGTTAAGTAACTTCGCTATTCTCTTTGGATTTTTCTGAAAAAAAAACACGGGTTTAGCTTCATCTGCTATCTTATGACCTGTGGGGAAAAACTAAATGTATCATGTTAAAAACTTTCCATCTTACTCTAAAGCAGCCACTAAAATATTAAAAACCACTGGTTTTCTAAGCAGGAGGATGCATGGTGCTGAATATTGAACAGAGGGGAATACTGAGCCAAGTTCTCTGGGCATCATTATTTTAAATTATGTAAAGTTCCTGTGTTAGAATAC